GTCTAGCTAGAGAGATTTTGAAGAGATTTTTAAAGTTTAGAATTGAACTAAAATTAATCAAAGGCTGAAATATTTGTTCAATAAAAATTATTCAGAAATGTAACTCTTGAGAACAAAAATCATGTGTCCATAAAGGATAAAACGCAACACAACATTTTTGTGAGTGCTGACACACAAGAAAGTAGCAAATTCATTTACCAAATAAGAGAAACTTTACTAAATATTTTAAACTGATGTAGTAATATACAATCTCTTATAGGAAATTTCATCCATGTGCAGCAATATTCGAAATATATCTCAGGACTAAGAATATGCAAAGCTTATGTAAATCTTTTAACTTTGGAAGGTAACATCTTAAAAAGTATTAAATTTACTCTATCACCTACTGTTGGACAAAGTCAAAAAGTTTAGCAAACTTATCTGAGGTTGTATTTTTAATTTTTTCATCTCATAAAAGTCTTTACACCAAAAGGAATGCTGCAGTTCAACTGACTGTATGAAAAGATGATCTACAGTAGACATAAGATTTAATAAATTAAAAGGTTGCTTTTTTTTCCCCCCCCTCCTTTCTCTGACAGTGGTCAATACTAGATGTTTCTCTAAAACAAATCACCAGTGATCTTTAAGAACCAGAATGCCAGTTGTGTTATGACAGTTTTAGGTTTTGTTTCATTTTATTTCTTACTGCATTTTAACAAGGACATGTAATATTTGGTGCAATCAAAAACTAGGGGTTTCTGTCAGACAAGATCCTGCTAATATAAATAGTCGATCTTCCAGATGCTGTTTTGTATTCAAATTTCCAACATCTGCTCACAGCAAATCTGCTATAGGAATGCAAACTTACCTGTTGAGAATATACCTCTTTCTGGAGAGCGGCGCTCATTCTGCATTACCTGCCCTTCCTTTAGCAGAGGGTTTTTTTGCAAATGCAGAATACGTACGCACAGCACGTGCTAACTCACGGCAAACACGGCTCATTTCTGTACAAATAGGAAGGTCAAAAGAGGTTAGGAATTTCAAGCAAATCTTCGCTTGCTTGAATGAAGCTGATAATTGAGAGAGGTAAGCAGCCTTGGCAGATTGCTTCAGCCTTTCAGATCACCCATAAAAGTACCCGTCCTAGGCATGGGCTCCGGGCAAGGTAACTTTGGAGGGTGCGCAGACGAGCCGGGCTGTGCCGGCAGGACTATGAGTTTCCAATTCCCATTGCTCTGGCTTGGCTCCATCGGCACGAGTGTGAGACAGCGACTCCCTGGGCTCTGCCACGTGAAGCGGCCGCCGCCGGCCAGATGCGCTGGCCACATGCAGGCATCAGAGGGAGGGTTCTTTTGAGCTGGTAGTAGTCTGAGCCGCTTACCACGCGCTCACTGGTGCCTGGAGGACATGAGGTGTGCTCCTGGAGAGCATCCTCTCATCTGGTCTAGCCCTGAAAACAAGGCAGGTCGCGTGCTCCCAGACCGCTCCACGATGCAACCCAATACATGGGAAGCAGCGACAACTCAGGGAATTTTCTGCCAAAAATGCAACAACTATTTTATTTGTCTTCCCCCTATCTCACAGGTTATAACAGTGATTTTCCTTTAATATTGCACTCATCCACTGCTGCAGCTTCAGCTTACACTGTCATTTAAATTAGGATTGAAGGTCTCTTAACACACAGGTAAAATAGGAATACAAATATAACCTGTCCAAAATTGGCTCTGGGGTCCCAGCTTAAGCATGCAAAGGAACGTAATGCTGCTGTTCTCAGCGCCAAAAAGGACCAGAAGGTTTCCAAACTAGACAAACACACTCAAAGTTTTTGAACAAATTTTTAAATGAAAAAAAAAAAAAAATCATTGGAAGTCTTGAATGTAAAAATAACCCAATAAAATCTTGTAGGAAATTGTTCCTTAGAATATATAAGAACATGTACTCAACTACAGGCTTCTCCCATTTTGCCCAATAGCTTAGATTCAAATGTATACTCTTCCTTTAACACATTAGTTCCCGATCCCAAACTAAATTTAAACAAAATGAGAGGAAAAAAGGAAACAGAGCAACAGAAATTGCTAAAAGAGGACATACAATATTTAATTTACCCAAGTAAACTGAACATGGAACTGATCAAAGAAAATCCGATTATTTGTTCGTTTTTTCTTCTTAAAGTCATATCTGGTATCTGAGTGACTGACATGTATTTGTAGGATGAACTATGCAGTGTGCAGGTTTTATTCAGAGGCCAATTAGCTTTTTATATTGAGAACTTATGAAAATCTGCCTCATTTTATTTGTGAGTGACAGATTACCATTTCACCATTCTGTTGCTATGGCAATACCAGCAGCAAAACTAAGTAGATAAACAGGATTTTGCATGTATTCATCCAGATACCTACTTTTGGACAAATCACTCAGAGCAGTGTCCATTATCTAGCCTGGGACACATTTGCCTTACATTTACGTGTCTGTATAGTCCCTAATGTGGGTTTGATGAAGGGTTGTAGATTCAAGTTAATACAGTGTATTTAAGTGAACACAGTATATTTGACACCGTGAGCATCGTAGACTACTCAGGCAGAGTAATAAATGGCCAGATTTTTCAGAAACCTTTAGATATAGCTTTTTCCTTTATACATGTTCACGGCAAAAAAATAGAGAAAAGAGTGATTTAACACTTCTTATTATAGAGCTATTCCTCATTTCACCCTTAAACCGACTCATGCCTTTCAGGTACGTAACAACATTAATAAGCAGAAATTACATTTTCCTCTCAGTAAATTACAAAATAGTGAGTTTGGGTTTCTTTTTTTCAAGATCAGTCAGTAACCCAAGATCTTTACTAATAAGGAGTGGACAATTTTAAGTGGTTGCATTATGTGATGTACGAACAAGCGTTCCCCACAGATTTATCTGAATTTTTGTCAGTGAACCAAAAGCCTTTCTTTGCAAAGAACTTGAAGATGCCCAGCAGAACCTATTGTTCCTGGAATTAGAGTAATCAACAGTTCTTGGATAATGTGGGCAAGAGGGAGGCCAAAAAAAAAAAACCTCCCTCATCGTCTCGCATTTTAGCCATTTCCCTCTGCACATCAATTTTATATGAACAGAAAACAGCCGATGTATCTTGTAGTACTGGGAAGTAAAATGAATTTGGTAAACACCCGGAGCGCGGGAAGGGATCCGGCGAGAGCCACAGCGGCAGGACACCCTGCAAGCTGGAGATGCCGTGGAAGAGCTGAAAAGGGTTTTTACTGGACCTGCTGGAAATGAGCCTCAGCAGGAGAAGAGGCAGAGCGCAGCCTCTCTTTTTGCCAGTAGCTGATGATAAACTCTGGATGCCTTTCTGAATAGTCACTCAGACCAATGAAAGTAATTACCTCATTTTCGCATGTCTAGCTTACACTTCAAATAATTTGCTCTCTTTTAAACATATCCTGGTTTATAGATGTGGTTATCAGGCCTCGTCGTCAGATGGGGTTTTCAGACAGCCCACGCTAAATCGGGAGCGGGAGGGATGAGGAGCAGAACAAAGGCAGGAGAGCATCAGGAGTGAAGGGAACCTGCCCAGCACGCTCGCAGTTAAGCTTCTTCCTTAATTCCTTTTGCCTGTACGTTAACGACCTCATTGTGCCATCGGAAGATATTTTCAAGATAACCTACAGATTATATTCATGAAAATGCACATATTTCCTCATAGAAATGGAGCTAAATAAATATTTACGAAATGAAAAAAGTTGTCTGTCAAAGTCCAGCTTTTTTTGCTACCACCTTAATACCGTGGAAAAATATAAGCGGATTCAGAAGCTATAGAGGATATTTATATATTTTTTAAATCAGGAAGGAAACTTGCTCTTATTCCAGAAATAGGAAACAAAAAAATCCCACATATGTCACCGCAACAATTTTTTCCATCTGTTTACTGCTCTGATGCTGTTTGATAGCTTAGTAAATAAGCAGCATCAGCTTACCGGATTACCTTTGAAAAGAACCAAACAGGTAGGATGCATACTAAAATACACGCAACATGTAATGAACAGGCAGGCAAATCTATTCCATATAACAGTAACGCAACGTAATCCAAGAGGATTATTTGATAACTCTGCAGTTATCAAACTGTAATTCCGGTCCCCCTCATCTCCCCCCCGTTTTTAGGTTGTGCTACATACAAATAGCTACAAGTCTGTCCAAGGACAACAGCTTCTCCGCTGCTGCTGTCTGCAGGAAAAATAAGCTTTGAATAATTACACGTTCTTTTTCTGTTCCTAAATATATTCCTCCCTCTGCTGTGTTGCAGGAGCACGGCATACCGACCAGCATGGGCTACGCAGTGGCTCCACACCACTCCGGGGTCTACCCCGTTCACATCCAGCTGTACGAGGCCTGGAAGAAGGTCTGGCACATCCGAGTGACCAGCACAGAAGAATACCCACACCTGAAGCCTGCACGGTACAGACGGGGCTTCATCCACAATGGCATCATGGTACACTGCATTTCCATGCTTCATAGCAATAGTACTTTAAGTGACTCAAAAGCATGCTATTTTTACCAAACGCTTCAAGTTTTACAGCAATCATTTAAAATTCTCTGTGATCGAGGATTTGTAAGGATGCCAAAATAGTGCATTTGTTATGCAGCCAGTTTTTTAAAAAAAAAAAGTGTCACACAAACTCAGGCAACTGCAAATGTAATCCTCAGAAACTAAATGTAGTACTTGTAGTCCCGTCAACTATCAACCGAGTTATAAATGCGTATTTGGAAATTCATTAAACTGCCTAAGACCTATGTTTCAAGCTCTGGTTCATCTTTATGCATGAAAGGATTAGAAATCCACCACCTGGGAAGGTGAGCAGGTGTAAGTAATCTCCTCCAGCAAGCATGACACTTCTCCAAGGCCAAGCTTTGCTTCTGAAACTCCCAGAGCCAGGGACCGGACACGTGCCCGACTCCTCCAGACCACGCGTTTGTGCGAGGAGAGACAGGGTTCCTCACGTACGCACTGCAACTGCGTGAAGGGCAGGAAAATGTATAAAATTATGTGGCCTTTCTTACCGGCCAGCTGCAAGTCTACAGATAGGTGAAACACAAAAATTGAATACGCATAAGTGAAGTTAGAGATATTTCAAGGGCAGGTCCCGGGACGCTTTCAAGTCCCAGCTGTCTTGAACATTGCCTACGCATAGAAAGTCAAAATTGTGATCCCCTAAACAAGACCAAAGGAAGGTCTTCATCAAAACCAAGTTACTGCACGGGGTCCAATTACTATTGGAATAGACTCAAATTCAGCGGTGCATTTACACAGGTATTAAAACTCTCTGCTGAACATAGGTTTTATTTGTTCTTTTAACTGAGTAGAAAAGCGAAAACACTGACTGGAGGGAAGCAAAAACCCTTCCCCAGGTGAATTATGTCTCTGCATGGATTAGGCAATACCCATAAGCCCTGAGAGTTGTTGTCTTTACTTGACCAGAGCCCTTCGATAGCCCCTAGCTAATAATGTAACTAAACCACCCAGTGCTCCAAGAGGAGCTTCTTTTCCCAGGCCTGCTAGCTGGCTCGCTTCTGACACCCAGCCTCTCGGTTTATGGCAGGACGGGGAGCTGACCTCGGGCTGGTCTCATGCCAGCCTCCCACCAGTCCCGTGCACAATTCACCGCCGGGAACGAGGGGCTCAGTGTGGTTTTCAGGACTGAGGAAAGTATGAAGCAACAGGACTTTTGTGGTCCTGAATACAAATTCAGGTCCGTGTCTCAAGAACGGTGAGATTAATTGCCTGAGGTAGCGAAGACGGCCAGGAAGCACTATTTACCTGCTAATAAACTGAACCTTGCTAAGGGAAGAGAGGTTTGGCTTTTTGTTTTCTTCCTCTTCCAAATGCCAGGAAACAACCACTTACTGTAAGCGTACGAGCTGAATAATGCGGTCTGCAGGAAAGCTCGGTGCGTGTTGTGCCGCAGCTTTTCAGAGCTGGCGTCTGGAAATCTCCACATCTGCAGGACCGCGCTCGCTTACCACGAGTACCCAAGGCGCAAAGGAGCCCCTAAACACACACGCCAGAGCGCAGAGGCAGAAAGGGTTGCAGTTTTGTTTCTTTGAGTTGCTGGAGGGATTCGGGTGGCTGTGCCAGGGTAAGTTTGCAGAAAGAAGTTAATGTCACAACGGCGCTGTTATTTTGTTCTCAGGTGCTCCCTCGACAGACCTGTGGCCTTTTCACTCATACTATTTTTTACAAGGAATATCCTGGGGGTCCTCAGGAACTGGACAAAAGTATCCGAGGAGGTGAACTCTTCCTCACCATTCTCCTGAATCCCGTAGGTACCTTCTTTTGCTATTTTTTTTTGGACACGCTGACTAACGGGGAGGAGGGAGGGAGGAAGGGAAGGAGATAAGTTTTCTTTGTTTGGGAAATAAAAATCAAGACCACTTGCTCAGAGGTAACAAGCAGTTTAAGAGGAAAGGAGCAAAGTCTCTTCCGCTAATTTCTAACGACAACTGTACGCCACAAGTTACTGGAAAATGCATTAATTTTGGCTCCATAATGTTTCCCAACCTGAAGCCGGGTCCCCGCGAGAGAAGAGTGCGCTGACTTGTCTAACTGAAAGAAACCACTGAGGGCAGAGAAAACTGTGTGATCTTATTCCGCTTTTCCTTTTTTTCCATAAGCTTGGCTCCTCAGGCACTCCTGATATAGCTCAGTGGAAACCCCAGAGCTCAGGCCCAATATCATTCCCCCACCACTGGCTCTTAAAAATAGGTTTTGTGCAGCTAAAAAATATCCCAAGCAGTACACAGCCTTCTAATGAACGTTTGTGCTTTGCTCAGGGCTGCATTTCTTCTTCTCCGTCAACATTACATGAACCATAAACTATATATATGTATGTCTGTCTGCACATATAAACAACCTACATGTGTCTAAACACACACACATATATGGTTTAACCAAAAGTGCCACAGACTTTAAGGATGATTTGCAGAGCTATCAGGCAGTTTTGTCTCTCAACTAATAAAGCGATCCGAACTGCGCTGCGCTAATATACACATGCACATATACATATACCAACACGAGGTAGGTGGGTGCATAGGTGTGATTGGGCTTACCAAGGATCAAGGAGCAAAGCTACCTGACTGCAAATGCTCTATTTTGAAGTCACAGTTCTCTTGCCTGGGAACAACAGTCTGGTGCCATTTAAGACAGCAGCCTAGAGGTGGAAGGAGGAAGGACAAGAACAAAAAAAAAAAAAAATCATGTATCAATATTTTTTTTTTTTTGCCATTGTCCTCCCCTCTTCCCGTTCCACACAAACAAGCAATACCACTCACAAGATAAATGTCTTGTGTCTTGCCAGGTGGCCTAATTTTCAGTGGGTTTAAATTGCAGTACTCTGACTTCTCTGCAGAGCTAAAGAAACTTCAGGTGGAGCTAACTCTCAAATCCAGGTCACTTTTATTTAGAGACCTAAATATAGATTTCGGTATTATATAATTAGGTGAAAATTATATAATTTTCGGGGAGCTAAGTTGGCATCTAACTCAAAGATTCAGTGGGCTTAAAGAAATGGGACATTTCTATTAGGAATTTTTCTGCACCATACACATGACACCTAAGTTGAGAATAAAAAATATCTCTGTTCTTTACCCTGTCTCTCCATTACCTGTAGTTCTCTCAGGCTGGCTTTTCTTCCCTTAGTTTCCTTAAGTGTAACGTGGCTCGTCACTGCCTTGGGACGGTGCTGAAATTTATCCTTAGCTTTATCATACTTTGATCAATACCCGTGCACCTTTCACTTACCTGAAGCTTTCCTCAGATGCAGGCAGTGCAGCAATCTGTAGCAGAGCATGTTCTCACTCCACGAGAGATGCTTCAAATAGCCCCAGTTCCGCAGTCAATCACCGTGTCCAAGCCTGTGAGCGTGCTCGGGCCACCCTGGCTTCCTCCCCTACAACTCGCCTTTTCCCTAATTTCAGGTTTTTCTTGTTTACTGACAGCAGATAAGCAAGAAGGCACAAGCTCGCAGTTGCTTATTAGAAATTTCAGCCTTTGGATCTTTTAAACGATCGCGTCCAAATGTTTTTTCCAAAGACAGGCTAAGGCTATGGGGAATGGTAGCTCTTCAATTAGTCTAAAAATTATTTTAAAGGCTATTATTGAACTCTGAATGAAATCAGATAGGCCCGTGCCACCATTTATTACACTCTCCATAATTCATTAGCCTGGGCTCTCCAGGCAGCTCCCAAGCAGGTCCAACCTCGAAGGTGCTGGAGCACCTTCCTCCTGGGACCTCCAACACCCCCAGCGCTTGCGCCGGCCCCGCGGGAGGTTTCCCCCAGCCGGGTCCAACTGCTTCCCCCAGGAAAGGGCCAGATCCCTCCCTAGATGGGTCCCGCCGCACAGGCGGGGGCTCTCAGTGCCCCCCGAGCGTGACACAAAGAATACTTGAGAGAAGCAGTTCTACCTTTTGGGTTTCGGGAGCAATGCAGCAGAGACGGGACCTTTCCTAGGAAGGCAATATGGAATGGCAGGCAAAGCATGCCAGATTTAATCACGCATCTGTGATATTCATGGCAGAGTTCGAAAATCATCTTCCAAAGAAAAGGGGAGCAGGAGGAAGATTTTCTTTGATTATCTTCAGTACATGAAGTCATTGTTTTGACCAAGCTATGTTCCAATAACTTGAGAGTGCAATATATATTATTGGGTGGTATTTGGAAAGAGCAGCTCTTCTATACTGTTAATGTTTGATTCCCCCCTCCCATTTTTATGATTTTCTATCTTTACCTCATCAAAACTGATATTTTACTGAGCTAAGCGACACAAGTGAAATACTGACATCCACTTCCCTAACTCTGAGTTAAGTATGAATCTGTTCCAATATAAGTGCTTATTCAGACAGGAAGAAATATAATTTAATCATGTGTGAGTTGAAGTAAGATATACCACAAAACCCCACCATCATTCAAGTCCGGTTGATACGCTACCCTATGAAATATGCACTGACTGACAACAGCAAAAGCAAAATCTAGCCTTATCTCAGAAGGAAACTGGTGTGCGTAGGAAACAAAATCATCTATATTCATACACCCTTTTTCTTTTTTTAAATACGGTTTGGACAGCACACAAATGATCAAATGGGAAGACCTTTCTTTTATTCAGTGTAAAAGAAGGTGTAGTGTTTTGGTGGTTAATTTGAAAAAGTTCACAGATTAGTATCTAAAAGCTATGGTATCTTCTGAAAAGGATCGAGAGAGTGCCTATTCCACTGGCCAATCGCAAAATTCACTTGAATAAAAAAATATATGCTTTGAATGTGATGTGTTCTCCAACCTGGCAGCAGTGCATACCGCAATAGCAACAAAAGACTTCCCACCTTATATCCTCAAAGCTTTTCACACACATCCACTCCTTAATAAGCTTCCTTAGTATTTGGATATCAACCTGTGCCGTTCAGGGCTTGACCAAGAGCACGGTTCAGGGGTTTACCACGAGCAGTACAGTGCGAACCAGCGCGTGCTCTCCAAATGGATTATGGAAAAGAACAACTGTCTGGAATGTAAAGACTTTTTCAAAACCATAATATAAATTGTTGTTGTTGTTGTTGAGTCATATTGAATGAGATGCCTGACGTAGTCCATGGATAGAAACCATATCCATAAAGTAAAATCCTAACCAGAATGCACCGTCCCCCCTACCATGTAGGCTGCTTTACACTTCGCTGCAGTTATCCCACTTCAAGTTTTGCAGGAGAGGGATTGCCTGTACCATTATTTTTGCATTATTGACATCATTTAAAAATATTTTTCGTTTACTCTTTAAAAACACCGGCCAGACTCTTTCCTGGTGCGGAGGAGATTTGTAGAACTAGAGTAGCTCCTATTAATTCTACTGCCACGTGGTTGCACGAGTGCCCTGCTCACCACGCTCTGGTCTCACGCGGGTGTGCGCCATCGGCACCGGCACTAGTGCGAGTTCTGTGCGTGCAGCACGGGGAAAGGAGAGCCTCTCTGCACGGGCGGTGCGCTCCTCTGGAGGGCCAAGCCGGTATAAAACTATTTCTGCTTGCGGAAAGAGAATGTATGCACGTGCACTCTCACGGCGCTATCAGGCTACTATGACAACTGAAGTTACATACAAATTATGTGTGTAATTACCATAAAAGATCATACTGCAGAGCCCAAGATTGGGTTCGAAATCTCCTTATGCAGCTAGTTATCTGCCCTGTGGCGCGCGGTGTCGTTCACTACCCCCGCCTGGTTCGAAAAGCACAGGGACAACAACAAAAAAAACGAACAAAAAAAAAGGAATATTTGGTTTCGCAGAGCCCTTTCTACAACTACAGCAGACGATCATTTTGTTATCGTTTTGTGAGGTGCCTTCTTGACCATCAAGTAGGCTAGGAGTTAGAAGAGGGCTTCTGAGCAAGTTGGTTTGTGGTCGTTGCCTGTCTGTCTCATTTCTGTGGGGTTCTTTTGTTCCCTTTGCCAGTTTTTATGTTGGTATGTTTCTGTAGATGAGCCTAACGATAGTTGGGCAACAATTCCAAGTTAGATGTGATATAGAACAACATTTTGGCTTC